ATATTTTTCTTTCTTTTTCTTTTGTCTTCTTTTATTTCATCCAGTCCGATATATTTTGTTTCATTTTTTTTCTTTTTCTTCTTTTCTAGTCACTTTCTTTTGTTTCTTGTTGCATTAAACACACGACAAATGCGTATAAGAACGTATTTTTCAGTTCTGTTTTTTTTTTTTTTTTTCTTTTTTTTCCTCAAATAGTAAAGTTTTTCATCCCTTTTCCCTTTCGTTCTCACCTTTTGGCACAATTATTTTTTAAAAACTTTGCATAACAATCTTCTCACCTTTCCTTCTTTTTTTCAATTTCCCGCGAAATCGTTGGAATTTTTAGTTTAAATCTTTTATCAGTTGATACAACAACACTGCATACGTGTGTTGTTGTTTTTTTGGGGTTTTTTTTTTAATTCATCTTTTTCACTTTTGAATCCGGGGACACAATTATCGATGTCACAAACAAATCAGACAACTTCCTGTCGTGAAATCCGGCGTTCGACACATGACTGTCACCTGATATCGAAGGCTGGCACAAGAGATAAAAATCTGCAGATGTGGCCACCAAAGCATGACCTGTAGTTATTAGCTTTCTTCTTCTTCTTCTTTTTTCTTGAACACTGAGAACCTGAGAATGTCGAAGATAGATACAAAGACGTGACTAGATTTATATATATATATATATATATATATATACATATATATATATATATCACTAGACCACAATCGATAGATAGATAGATAGATAGATAGATAGATAGATAGATAGATAGATAGATACTAATCAAGTAGATTGCAGAGTAGTTAAAAATCTAATTGATCTATGACTGCATGCTCGTGTATAAAGTAGAGAGAGAGAGAGAAAAAAAAAAAAAAAAAAGGGAAATCCCGTAGAAAGAAAAAAGTATATAAATATAAATATATATATATATATATATACTTTTTGAAGTATATATATATATATATATATATATATATATATATATATATATATATATATATATATATATATATATATTAGGTAAAAGTACTGGAAAGTTCTCGACCAAAAATCTGATTTGGCAAAATAACAAAACATAATTTTTAAA